TTTAAAATTAAGTTTATTGGTACATTTTAGGTATAAAATATAGTTACATTCATCATTGGGATCTTGTACCTTTACATGATTTATCTTAGTTTTTATTTTTTCCCCATTCCTCTGCCCTCCCTTCACCCCCTCTATCCCTCCCAATTTACAAAGACTTTGTTGCCATTTATTTCATTTTCTCGTATTTTTTCTTTTCCCTTCTTGTCTTTCCCCTACCCCTCCCACTTCCTCTACCCCTTTAGACCTTTTCTTCCTATTTCACAATATGAATTATACATTTTGATCTTTATTTACTTTTATTTTTTTACACCAGAGAAACAATTCGGTATTTACACGTGTGTCCTGTTTATTTTGCTTAAGAGTATGGCCTCAATGTGCATCCACTTAGCTATAAATGTCTCTGGTTTCTCATTCTTTATGGCTGAGTAGTACTCCATTTTAATAAAAAAATCACATTGTCTTTATCGTTTCCAGTTGATGGGCAATTGGGCTGTTTCCGAGTTTTAGGTGTTACAAACTGTGCCGCTATAAACATGGGTGAGCATATATCAATGTGGTATGATTCTTTTAATTCTTTTGGGAAGATACCCAGCTGGGTCAAATGGGACCTCTAATCCTAGTTTTTTGAGGTATCTCCATATTGATTTCCACAGTGGTTGCATCCGACTGCACTCCCACCAACAATGGAGAAGGGTTCCTTTCTCCCCACAACCCCGCCAGCATTTGTTACTGGTTGATTTCTTGATAGCAGCCATTCTTAATGGGGTGAGGTGGAATCTCAGCATTGTTTTCATCTGCATCTCTTAAATAACCAGTGATATTGAACATTTTTTCATATGTGTATTTGCTGCTTTTACTTCTTTGTCTGAGAAATGTCTGTTCATTTCTGATGCCCATTTTTGAATTGGGTCTTTATATTTGGGGGGTCTGATTTTTTTAAGTTCTTTATATATTCTAGATAGTAGACCTTTGTCTGAGGAACAGCTGGTAAAAACTTTTTCCCACTTTGTAGGTTGTCTTTTAGCTCTGTTTGTGGTTTCTCTTGCAGTACAGAAGCTTTTTAATAAGATGAGATCCCAATTGTTGATTCTTTGTGCTAGTTCCCATGCTACTGAAGATTTGTTCATAAAGTTTTTTCCTATGCCAATGTCTTCAAGAGTTCTACCTAACTTACCTTCCAGCAAGTTTAGTATTTCTGTTTTAATATTTAGATCTTTTTTTTGGTACCAGGGAATGAACTCGGGACCTTGTGCTTGCGAGGCAGGCGGCAGAACCCCTGAGCTAAATCCCCGACCCTAATATTTAGATCTTTAATCCACTTCAATTTTAGTTTATTGCTTGGTGAAAGATAGGGGTCTAGTTTTAATCTTTAGCAAGTTGAAATCCAGTTTTTTCAACACCATTTATTAAAGAGGCTATCTTTCCTCCAGTGAGGATGGTTGGCTCCTTTGTCAAAAATGAGGTGGCTGAGTATGTCTGGAGTTGTTTCTGTATCGTCTAGTCTATTCCACTGGTCCTCAGGTCTGTTTCTTTGCCAGTACCATGCTGTTTTTATCACAGTAGCTATAGTTTCAAGTTGGGGATTGTGATACCCCCAACCACGTCTCTGTTTCCTAGAAGTGCTTTTGCTATTCTAGGTCTCTTCTTATTCCAAATGAATTTTTGGATTTTCTCTATTTCTCTGAAATGTACTGTTGGGATTTCAATCGGGATTGCATTGAATCTATGTAGTAGTTTTGGAAGTATGACCATTTTCACAATATTGGTTCTTCCTACCAAGGAACAAGGGTCCTTCCATTTTCTTATATCCTCTTCAATCTCTTTTTTCAAAGTGTTTGTAGTTCTTGATGTAGAGGTCTTTTGCTTCCTTCATTAGATTGATTCCTAGATATTTCATTTTTTTGGATGTTATTGTGAAAGGGATTGTTTCCCTAATTTCTCTCTCAGTGAGTCTGTTATTTGTGTATAAGAAGGCTATTGATTTTTGAGTGTTGACCTTGTTTCCAGCTACTCTACTGAATTTTTCAATTTAGTCTAGAAGTCTTTTGGTGGAGTCTTTTGGGTTTTCAATGTAGAGTATCATATCATTAGCAAGTAATGACAGTTTAACTTCTTCCTTTCCTGTCTTCCTTTTATTTCTTTTTCTTGTCTAATTGCTGTGGCTAATGTTTCCAAAACTATATTGGACAGGAGTGGTGATAGTGGACATCCTTGTCTTGTTCCTGATTTTAGCATGAAGGTTTTCAGTATTTGACCATTTAGTATGATGTTGGCTGTTGATTTTTTATAGGTAGCCTTTATCAAGTTGAGATGAAGACCCTGTATTCTAATTTTCTGCAGGGTTTTTATCTTGAATGGGTGTTGAATTTTATTGAATGCTTTTCTGCATCTATTGAGATGATCATATGGTTTTTGTCCTTGACTCTGTTAATATAGTGTATTACATTTATTGATTTACGTATGTTG